ATACCTGGAAAGCACAAGGTCCTGAGTTTAATTCCTGGTACAAAAAAAATCAAAGTACTTTGTAGAATAGAAAGAAGGAGGAGAAAGAAGAGAAGGAGGAAGAGGAGAAAAGGCATCACAGGCATGTCCATAGTCCAGCAGAGCTCCATTTAAGCCTCAGCCCTGGTACTTAACATTGTAGGACAGGTTTTCTGCTTCTTCTACGTGAGTGGTGAAGGGACCCCTGCCTTGCCAGGTGGCACAGGGCTGGGAGGAGAGGCTGCACCTGGCAGCAGTAAGTTGGTCCCTTGTAAGCCACATGAGAAGGTACAGAGCGCCATGAGGGCTCAGACTACATAGCTAGCACAGAGCTGTTGACTAGCTCTACCCCAGCAGTATTCCCTTGCTCTTAGAGCTGCAGGAGACCCATGGGATGGCAGGGCCATCCCACACCTCATCCTGTCTGCAGGGCCCCTTTCCATATCTCCCACTGCAGAGCTGGGGTTTCCCCTACACTCTGCAGTGAGGACCCACAAGCTTTCTTTTTCCCACCTGTCCGGCCCCTCTTGCACTGACTGGGCCAGGCTTTTAGTGCCAGGCTGACTGGGAAGTGTGAGTGGGCATCCCCTGCTCCTGGCACCCAAGCACTGGCCTGTGCCCAGGACCTCTGCCTAGGCAGCTCTGTGCCCATAGGGGCCATGTTGCCATGGTGACTCCACTACCAACACAGTGTCCAGGGAGACAGCACCATGGAGCTGAATGTGTTTGCAAGACTTGCTGAAACCAGCACTGACTGGCTGGGTAGACCCCAGAAAGGGTCAGGGTGTGGAGGATGGGAACTAAGTATAGCTGCTTCTCTTGCAGCAACTTTGGGAGATAGGAAGAAGGGAGAGGGGGAGGGACAGGGAAGGAGGGAGGGAGGGAAGGAAGGAGGGAGGGAGACAGAGAGATAGAGAGACAGAGACAGAGACAGAGACAGAGAGATAGAGACAGAGAGAGACAGAGACAGAGAGATAGAGACAGAGAGAGACAGAGACAGAGACAGAGACAAAGACAGAGCTAGAGAGAGACAGAAACAGAGAATACCCACACCCTGGCTCATGCATCCACCCCCTGCTCAGGTTCTAATGGCTCCTCTAGGCAGAGGCTCAACCTAAGAGGGCCTGATCTTGTGACTGTCATAGGTTTCTTCCTGAGGTGGTGTTCATGGTTCATCTTTGTGCCTAGTTTCTATGTTAAAAACTAAAAGGAAAGCAGAGGGGGGATCCACGGGGCAGCAGGACAGAATGACCTTGACACACGGCAGCACAACTGAAGCTGACTTCAAGGTCTACCTTATCTCCTGGCCTGACTTCTTACAGAACATCGTGTGGACACCAGGAACCTGTACTGTGGTGCCTATCCTGCCTCCCACGCCCCACCTGCACTCACTCACCTTACGTCCTGGGGTTGCCTGAGTTGTCTCTTGTAACTCATGCCTCTATCCAGTGGGGAAAGATCGTATGCTTATTGTACAGACAACGAGATCAAGGCTGCAGGGTTTGGATCTATGCTTGCTGTAGTCACTGGCCCTGCTGCTTCCTCCTCCCAGACTCCTGGGCCCCACAGGAACAGGACCCAAGGTACCAAGTAGAAGAGAGGAGTCACTCTGTCCACAACAACAGGTACGATGAAACCCACAAAGTGTTAACCAGGGCTGCTCTCTGGGCTTTAGATTTCAAACTGCCTGTCTTGGGTGAGGAAGGGCGGGAGTCACTGGGTACAGACTGAGCCCCAGCCCCACACCTCAGAGCTGACCCAGTTCTCTTGGGAGGGGCTCCTCTGTGCTTCCTTCCAATCACGACTGTGGGCTTCCGTTGTGCAGCTTGGAAACACCCGAGTGCCACTGATTTAATTCTCAGGGGTGGTGAGAATCAGGGCCCTGCATCTTCCCGAGCCCTTGTGCTCCGAGCTAATGCCGATTTGTAAAAGCGCTTTATGATTTATTCATTCCGTCTTCCCAGGCTTCCCAGGACAGCCTTCCCCTCACACAAATGAGCGCAACTCCCAGAATAGAGCATTAGGCTTCATTAAAAAAACAAAACCCCCGGTGTGGGGGACGTCCCTTTCTTGCTCCCTAGCCTGCATCACACAGCGTTGTAGAATTCAGGTCAAACTCAAGAGAGCGCCTGAGCTGCTACACTCAGCAGGCAGTGGTGACCTGGTGGGCTTCTCTCTGGGAGGGACTCTCCAGGTGGGCAGTGCTTGGGTGGGTCATGGGTCCTCTGCACCAGCACTCCACCTTAATTTGTTGGAGGCATTCCCTGGTGGCTGGCAGCAAGAAACAACAAGCTAGGCAGGGGGCCCTTGGAGGGATGGGGGCCCTGGTGGAACCAGAGTGGAGTTCTGCACACGGTGCCCAGGCTGGGGCCAGTGGTAGGTCTCTTACTGCTCAGGAATGCCACTGAGGGACCGGAGAACTGTACGAGTTAGAAGTCACCACACTAGCATTGGTGCTGTTTTCATTATTATCATCAATATGACTTTGAACTTGGGGAAGGCCTCCATAAACACTGTGGAGCTGACAGAAGAGAGAATCCTCAACTTCCTCTAGTGACTATGTCAGGAAGCCACTTACTTAGGCCTCACCTGTGCTCAGGAAAGCTGAACACAGACAAGGGTATTGCCCACGACAGAGGCAGGCTTTACAGGGCATAGAAATCATGCTGGTGCAGGAATACCAGGGACTTGTGGGCTGGTTACTGCCCCTGGCACTAGCAATGCTTCTACACACAGCAGTCAGGTTTCTAGTGCCAGCGGGTCACAAGGACTTTTGGCAGCTCAGCATGTTTGGAAGCTGACTCCAGGCAGCCTGAAGCCAGGTGTGTGAGGGCTTTGTAGCTCTTGCCTTCAGCTTTTTAATTCCCAGAAGTGAAGATTAAAGCGGGAGGGGCGGTGATAAACTTGGAAGAGCTGGAGCTCTATGGGTTGACTGTCCTTCAGGTCATTTCCATGAGAGGTTTCTGGGCTTACTGCCTCTCTTGGTGATTAGGGACTTGACCATGCATTTCTCAGTGGAAACTTTAGGATAACGTAAGCATATCTGTAGATATCTCCTTTGCTGGGCAATGCAACTGATGTCACCGGTAATGCTAACATACTCTTGATGCCATGGAGCAGTCAGTCTGATCTAATCACCTGCAGAAATCAGAGGGGTACTGTCACCTAGAATACAGGATCCTGGCAGCCTTCTCCCTTTGCACATTGCTGCAGAGACTAGCTTCAGCCAAAGGGTCTGAGGTCTGGGTTGGGGATATCCTGCTGCGTGCTACAGAGGTTTTTCACTTGTGCATCCCTGTCTGGCAGCTCTCACCTATCATTGCCCAGCGGTGGGCAACTTGAAACCTCCGAGCAGTAAATGAGACCTCAAAGAGATCGTCGTGCAAAAGAGGATCTGTGTTGCTTATAGTATCTTAAGAAAAATAGCATCAACACAGAGTTGTTTTGGGATTCATCCAGTCCATGCTGATGATTTAACAATTCGTGTGGCTCTCATCTTGCAGGTAGAGGAGGTGAGGCCCACACGGCTCACCCAGTTGTGAGAGATCATGGTTATCAAAGTCCAGAAGCAAATCCCAACCTGTGGGCATCAATGAGACTGCCAGCTGAAAGTTTCCCAGAATTTACTAATTGTTTGTAGCTTCCCCCCTCGCCCCCACTCCTTCCTTCCTTCCTTCCTTCCTTCCTTCCTTCCTTCCTTCCTTCCTTCCTTCCTTCCTTC